ACATTTTGACGTCATCTGTGATCTATTACTGAACAGACGCACGGCAACATGGAATCTATTTGTTAAACGGATTACACCATCAATCTTGCTTCTTAGAAAACATTTACGGAGATCTGATCCGCTTAAAACCATTCTGTGATCTTTGTTGCACATGAATAGATCTGGTTTGCGTGGCTTCGCTCTGTTAGATATAACTTAAAGTCTAGCAATGTTGTAGCACTAAGAGGGCAAAAAATTCCTTTGCGAAAAATGATTCCTTGGAGTCGCATCTCAAAAATTTGATGTCCAATTTCAAGTTCCTTCCGGTGGGGATGTTTCAAGATCGTCTGATTCCTTACCTCCAATGAAGTTTTGGCACGGGTTAGGCTGTAAACCAGAAACGGGATATCTAATATGCCTCAATTTTAGGTAGGTATGCTTCTAGCTGTTATGTACATTTCCAGGAAACACCGATGTTTCCAAATGAAAGTGTCCTTATAAAAGATGCCGAGAATACAACAATTCTCCATGGTTCTGTGGGACCAAGTGAGCTGTTCGTACCATAGCGGTGTCTGTAAGGAGAGGTTCGACTATAACTGAAAGTGGGTTGCAGGATAAAAATGATTCATGAGTTAAAATAACTTCCTTCAATAGTTGTGTCTCGGAAGCGCACGTCGTAAAATATCCATTACAGAGCACCGAATTTGTCGCATCTTCCAGCAGTAAATGATGGGGTTCAAAGACGAATTAAGGAACATTAGTGTCAACGTGTATATTGATAAACCTTTTATAGCGGTTTTTACTCCAAAGATTGTTACGGCAGCATAGCTACAGATATGTGGTAAATAACAAAGCACAAACACAAAATACACGTAAAATGCTCCAAGCGCAGATTTTCTAATACTTAAACCATTGGCCATTTCATCCGTATTCTGTACTTGAAGCGAATTAATTTGATTTCGGTGGCGTCGAACGGCCAGATATGTCTTGTAGTTAAGAAACGTTGTAGTTACCAGACAGCCAATCTCAAAAATGAATAAAATTACGGTAGTAATATTCATCGGACTCCACAACGCTACAAGCGACAGAAACCCACTGAAAACCCATAATGAGATCACCACCTTAGTAACACGCTGGTGAGTTATAACTTCTTGATATCTGAGATGAAGATAAATTGCCAAGAACCTGTCTAAACTCATGACCATAACTCCTAATAACGATACAGAGGAAAACAAAGTTAATATGATTGAAAAACCGGTGCACGTGGAAAAACTGGGATTGTTGTCTTGTAGCCACTTTACTAACAATGTAACGAGAAAAGGCTGGCACAGTAAACCAACACCAAGATCAGAGCCTGCCAAATTCAAAAGCAATATTCTCAAAGGCTGTGACAACGACGGTGTTCTCTTTACGGCGTAAATCGTTGCAATGTTCAGCATAATGGTGCTATAAGATAGAAACGCGTTGAGGACACAACAAAGGATGTACGACGAATAGAGGCTGACAGCATCAGACTTCGAGGGCAGGTTTTGCAGTAGTTCATTACATAAGGAGTTTTCCATGATATTGAATACAGCACAAAAAGGATATTGTACCAAAAATGATGTCAACCACACCAGAGGTATTGACCACAAATACTCTCTTTCAATACACAACGATATATGCTGAGGGGTTTATTTATTTATTTTTTATTTTTTTCAAATTTTGCAGACAAAGTTATTACAGATTCAATCTCTATTGTTAACATCTGTCATTTCGCACTTTTTTCTGAACGCCAGATAGTAATATGTGATTGTGAAGGATGTGAAACTGTAATTATTTTTCTTGAAAGTCTTCTTATCGAGGACTAGAGGCCGGAAAAGATCATATAGTTGGTATGTTTCTCAAAAAGGTTTTATTTAAATTTGCACGAGCACAATATACTATAGGGAACGAATTTTATCCTACGATTGACTGTTTACTGACCATTCAATTCAAGACATTCGACATGCGATGACTCTTTGTCCAAAGCAGTCACCTCCCAGTTTTCATCATTAAAACGATCCTTTGTTTGCGTATATTTAATTATATTCTTATATAAAATATTATTGAAAAAAGGAAACAACCCTTGTTCTTCGACCAGTCACGTGGCGAGAAAAACTTGCTAATAAAAAAGTTTACAAGTTAGTTAAAATTAATTTTTTGTCAAATAGGCAGTTTATCATATCCAACTGATAATTAACTCAGGTTAAGAAATGACAACAATGAAAGGCTGATCTGAATCTTCAGCTGTCTGAATCGTTGTTGATTTTAGTTGTCGCTTAATTGCATAGAAATTAATCCAGTTCGCAATCCGTGTATGATGGCGTGACGAATGACGTCTTTTAATCAGCACATTTTGGTGGCGCCTGTCTCAACCACTTTATCAAAGGCATGCCCCATTTCAAAGAAACACATGAGATTTTATAGCTCCCAGGTTTAAATGATGTACGAAGGGCAACCTGGAAACATTGAACACTGTTTTATTTCAAGTGATGATATTATCCCAAAAAGATATCGCTTGAAAATCGACAAAAAAATGACGAAAGTTTCAACATCTAACTTTCTTACATGTATATTGATTACGCATTTGAAAGTCTAAATCACGGTGATTGGCGGTGTCCTCGTTTTTGAGAAAATCCAGCTCAGCCTCTGCAAGGGTGTGGCTTAGTCTCAACGTCGATCTGATGGTCATGTGGCAAGCATGCCACGTGATTACCTTCTCAATGGCATCAGTTTATGTCAATTGCCAATTGAGTAGCCAGAAGCTGCACATTAGGGAAACACGGAAGGCTACACTGACTTACAGATTGCACCACCAGTCCTGTTGTTTCTTGGAGAACACTTACCCAGATCTGACCCGCTCGTGGAAAGTTGCAACAGCATCGTACTGGCTTAAAAATAAATGCATGGCTCTCCTCTAGCCAGATTGCTTTTGTGTTTTAACCGTGGCTTTCGGATCTTTCGTCATAGGGTCCCTTCGTGCCCTGCCTTTAATTGATGACGAGCGTCGTCCCCATTTATCATGAACGACGAACAAACATGTTTTGCAGTAGCTCAATAATACCGTGTCGAATGTGTCTCATCTTCCAACAGTAAATAACCGGGTTCAAAGATAAATTAAGGAACACCACCGAGTAAGCACAAATTGTCAAACCTTTTACAGTTTGTTCTACAATAGCATTTTGTCCAGACATTGTCATGGCAAAAGAACTACAAACCTGCGGCACAAAGCAAAGCAAAGACAC